CGGTATTCAAATCGTGTGGTCTGGATGGCGGAACCAATGTGATGCTGTGGCCATATAATTGGAATGGTCCAGACATCGGTGCGTGCTCAGAACTTGAGCTTATGAAATTCTTCTGTTTTGGAAGAATGAAAAGCGGTAGCATCGGTGACAGCGTTGAACGCGGAACAAAACGAGCACACGGAAACAGTATCAAGGTTACTATCAACGCTCAATCTTCAACGCTTTCGTAACCACAACTGAGCATCCCCCTACAGCATACAGTTTCCCAGTCTTTCTTGTCACAGACTCGGATGTCATTGCGGAGGACTCAGGTCTGAATGGTCACTTTTAATCCATTGGAATTTGGCATGGTCATACCTTGGTTTCCCTGTGCCTCTGGACCCATGGGCAGCAGGCCCACCTCTGGATCCTTGGCAAGCAGGCCCCGTCAACGGGCGCCCGAAAACTACCATGGGTTCGTTTGGATCGAAAAGCTGAGGCAATTGTCAGTGTCTGCTTGAGCGTTCGTGCTGTTTGCGTGCTTCACCTTGTGCAGTATAGAAATCAAAAGATAGTTGGCCGCTCCCGTACACAACTGGTTCTTATAGCCCATGCCGAGCATGCTGTGCCGGAAATCTCTCACAGGATCCTTCCACCCGTCACTAGAACCATCTAAATCCCGCAACGCCGCGATAACAATCCACGAACTGGAGAACGTTCGTTTCAAGTCTAAATCTGTCTGAAACACCCCGATATCAATGCAGGAACAAGTGCTTAAATTTGGAGTGATTGTTCGGTGTTCAAATAGGGATTACTGCGAGGATGCTCAATATGTAAATGTATGTCCGAACAGAATCTTTGAGGAGAGATCGAATACTTGAGCACTGCCTGTTGCAAGGTGCCGTGTCCGTTGAAAATGCACGAATCGTCACCGTGGAGTAGGTCTGAATGGTCAGTTTCCACTGGAAATGAAGTTGGTTGTTATAATGTACCGCGGTTTTCCTGAGCCTCTGGACCCGTGGCCAGCAGGCCCTAACGGGCGCCCCGGAAATGCCATGAGTTAGTTTCTCTGAGACGGCCAGGGGGAGGTGGGGAGGGGTGGGTTGGAAAGCTGATGAGATCGTCAATGAATGTCTAGGCCTGCGTGGTTATGCGCTTCACCTTGTGGGGGTTGGTCCGGGGCGGAAACAAAAAAAGATATTTGCCGCTCCCGTACAATTCGGTTCTCATAGCCGTTGCCGGGGCTGTGCCAGATGTTGAAATAGGCCGGTTAGGCGCCCTGACTTCGTGTGGTTCTGATACAGCTAGGAGCTGTTTCCCTACAGCATTTGTCTACAGCGGAGGGACAGCCGTTGAATATATTGCCTTGCATTGGCCTTGCACACCTTCCGGATCTGCAGTAGTAGAACCCTCTTTACAGCTTGTGACATCCTTCTTTAGAGTCTTTTACAGCTCAGTCGTTTTGTCCGTTGTATTATGTAGCTTGGACATCCCACTGCTCGCTGCGAATCTCGGGTGACTGTGAATTTCTAACCACTTTCTAACACCATCTCATCACTGTGATATCAATCCACGAACTAAAGTCAAATTTCAAATTCTAAATCCACCTGAAAGGCCCCAATAACAGCTCAGGAACAAGTAATAGCCCCCGTAAATTTGGAGAGGGCGCTGAGGGGCTCAGTGTATGTCAGACGGAGAAGAGTCTCCGCCGAGTGGAATCTTCGAAGGTGTCAGACCACAGCTTTTGAAAGGTGCCGTGTCCGTTCCAAATATGTGAATAGCTGTGACTGTGCAAGCTTTATAGGACATATTTTCCCTTTGACAGCGACGGCTTCTCTTTTCCGCTCCCAAACCTTTTCCGCCTCAATTTTACTTAGCAATGACAAATCAAGCCGGGCGGAACTGTAGGACCGTTCAATCGGGCTCTCGAGTACCACCAGTGATTCTCAAATTATTGCCAATCGCCCCGACGAGCTTGCAACGATACACCCGTCGGCGGACTATGTAGGAGGAATTACACATCGCTAAGCCCTGTGTCTCATTGTTACAGCCCCAACAGGTACACTAATTATTCCGTGCCCCCATTCACGCGGTCCTTCTCGCGGTATGTCCAATGTTCTCCCCTGGCAAAGTGTGTTATATAAGCTTGACAGTGTCGCACCCCTTCACTGGAGTGTTCAAGGGCATCCAGAAGGTGGCCTCTATTTTGTCCATGAGCACCTTGTATGTCACGGTTCTGATTCTAGTCGACATTTGATGCCGGTTGACAAATTGTCTAGCGCGTATTTTACGGATTGCTATCTATTCAACGCTCCCGTCCTTGCTCAAATCTCTTGTGCCGTTGATCAGCTTCTTGCCAGGCCTGGAGTAAACGATATATTGAATGACGACTCCAGCTATATCGATATTGTCCTGGAGCTCACGGAGGAGAGTTCTACCAACGAGGAGTGCGGCTATTATTTCGTGGACCATTCGGAGCCAATATTCTGGGCGGACGTTTTCAACATGCATACATTGGAAAGATGGGATATCATTCCAGGCATCGAAACAGCCTCACACGCCAGTGAGAAAATCGAATACTCATCGCCTGTTGCCACTGACACACTCAGAAATGGGGTTGGAGGTTGAATACTGGTCGGTAGCCTTCGCTTGAACTGGTAAGCCGTCTCACGGGAAGTTCAGAAAGAACTATGTAATGACCACGAATTCCAATCAGTTTCTTTTCTTGGCCGACGACGGCTAATATCTTGCAGGTTGCATTGTGAATTCTTTCCCACCGCACTCTCGCTATCTTGCGAACTTCTATCCGAGTTGCGCAACATACTGATATACAGTGTAGGCGGTGAGTACGTTGACTGCAGGCCTTTATTCTGTCCTTAAATGCTGTCCTTGAATGCTGCAGACGCCATGACCTCATCCACAACCACGATTTGTTATTCTGTGGACCATTTGTCTCGGATGCTCGCATTAACAAGGGAAATGATGAGTGAGCTCAGCTCCCATACTTGTGAATCAAGCAGGGTCAACCTGAACCGTTGTTCGGGTGCTATCTTCGGTATGCCTTGGGAAAATGTTATCTTCTAAACTCAACCGCGCACAGCCCGATTTATGGGGACTTCGGTGAGACTGTCCAATCACACGCTAGTTTCCCATTATTTCTTTAGCACGCGAGCGATCAATCACTTCCACGGCGAAAAAACCGCCCGCCTCTGCAATCGTCAGTCTGTATACGGATACGATCCAAAACGATCGTATCTGTTCACGATGGTGTCGCCGTTGTTATTCAACGCGCCGCTTCGTCAGATACACAGCTTTGAGAGTGTAAATATGGACAACCTTGTCAGCTATTCGTCATGGCAAAAACTCGTCACCACATTTCGCTCTGAATGGCAGGACCTTGTCCTCTATGTGCGTCGTCGAATCGTGTATGATTGCTTGCATCGATTTCCGTGTTCAAATGCACACCGCGTCAGGGAACTATCATCTTAAATACCAATGTGGCATTTTTGACGATACCAGCCACTGAAAATTCCAGGCTAGGCCAAGTTTGCAGCTACATGTCAATATGTTACGGCCTTGGCTCCATTATCTTAGGTATGTCGAGGATGGGCTTTAATAGAAAATTCTCAGTGTTTTCCAGGCATCATGTTTCTGACCAAGCATCGTGGAAATATTTCGGATGCCCCAGATATCAGCATTGCTGTGGGTCTTTTCCCTCTACCCCATCAGGGTTGGCTCAAGAGCCCTCCCTCTTCAGGCATCTTTTTTCGAACGTCATGCGGGATCGCTCTACGGACTAGAAATACTGTCCATCGTGTATTCCTTGCCATATGCACTGATGATTTGGGGGTATGTTCCTGACAGCACTTGTTCGTGGAAGTTATTCACTCTGTCCAATAGGATGATTACCTTCGTATTGGCCCTCCTAGTCACGGTGTTTCGAGGGACTGTCATGGAAGTGCGAGGCATTATGTTGGCACCTGTCTTGACTGTCTTCGTGCCCATCATGGGCTTCGTATGGATCGAAAAGCGCTTTTCTTGGGAACGAACAATAGTGCAGTTGTGGCTTCGGGTGAAGACGGCCGCTTTCACAACGTGGATAGTCTGGCGTTCGAAATGGGCGGTCGTCAGAAAGACACAGAGGCTGTTTGATGGGAAATTTCTGTAGGACAATTGTATGCTATACTTATTCACTTCCGAGTCACAGTGCGAACTTTCGACGTGCCAGCCGACCGTCCAAGCGCGAGTACAAGGGTGTCAAGGTGGTGTACGAAGAGTGCGGGTGGGGCAACAAGCTCGAATGCTGGTGCCTTGTGAAGAGGGAGAACGATGGGTGTGTGTGCTAGTACCACGGCAACGACGAAGGCCGGGTTTGAGACGACACAGGACGGAGGGCAGGGGCAACGGGATCGTGTTTAGCAGAGTGCTAGTCATACAGAATATATAGTATGTAAGTGAGACAGGAGTTGAAATCGGAGGATGTCGTGTCTAAGAGCGAAAAGGCTGTCCAATAAATGAAGGATAAACATAACGGAGGTCGAGGAGCAGTGGAGTGGAGCGAGATGAGTGAGAGTAAATAGAAATAAAGTGCTGAGGGGTTGCGAGCGGGAGTGGGACGCGATGTGCGTAATTTAACCAAAGGCTCGGGGAGCTCGGGGATCAGCTTTCGGAGCGCAGTGCGCCGCGAAGCGCGACACCTTCAAGTCCAAGTTTGAAGAGGCATTTGACGTTGATTTGACATCAAGTAAGTAGCTTGCACAATGTCAGGGTGGCTTCCCTATCACATGAAACATATTTCCGTGCGCGTAGCCGTACCCAAACAAAAAAAAAAGGGCCCTCAACAATTTGCTAGCCCAGCGAGTGAGTTGAGTGAGGCCATGCCGCCGTGGTCGTTTAATAAAAGACTAGGCAAACACTACATAGGTATTTTAAGGTGCGTGATTGAGAATTGGAATGCCGAAATACCAGGGGCGCACACTTAGTCATCAAAACGCCGGGAAGGTTCAAAAAAGAAGCATCTATGGCCATCGTGGGGGTCGAACCCAAGACCTTCGCGTATATCAGATATTAGCACGACGCTCTAACCAACTGAGCTAGACGGCCGTGGAGTCGTGCCACCCAATTCAGGTCCCCAGGCTGTGCAGTGCCTCTTCTCGTTCATCTCCAAGCCACAAGTTTTTGAGGCTGGTTTGAGATCTGTGTAAGTCTTGGGTCATGATACTTTCCCGACAGATAGCAAGTGCCTGAAGGGGGGGAGAAAAAGTAGCGAGGTGGGGGAGGTTCGGCGATTTCGGCGATCTGAACATCGGATTCCGGACCGCTGGTGGCATTCCATTTCCGCTTCCAACTACTAGTAATGCCAAATAATTCCAAGAAAATTCCTTCCGCACTGAAAGTCCTACATATGTCTGTGTCTTCCTCAATTCTCTTCAAACCCGCACGCCGCAAGTTCAGACGGAAGGAGTTGTCGATCCTTTGTACGGATCTGATGCGTTCGCTTGGGAACTTTTCGATCGACACCGCCTCGTACACAGCTTCAATCTACCGTTCACACCACGATGATCCTGCTAGACGAGAAAGCCGAGCAGACAAGCCCCTCGTCCTCCTCCCTCTCCCCGGGGTCGCGCTACCCCCCTGCCTCGCCCAGCTACTACGCACCAAGCGACTTCGGTAGTAGCGCGCCTTCAAGCTCCAGATCTGGCGGCAGTTCCACCCTCCGACCCCCAAACCCCCAATGGCCGGCGAATTCCAGCGAAACGGCGTTACACTCACCGGTGAAGGGCGGTCAGTTTCCACCGTTATCAGGTACCCGCTCGGAGGCGCACCTTCCAGTGAAACCCGTGCCGCCGCCGTCCCTCACGCGGTCACCGCCGTCTAATCTCCCGCGCACGGCATTCCCACCAATGTTCCTCCTAGCGGACGGCAACTCACTCAAGCAGGGGTTCCCTGCCGTGCTGCCCCCGTCCGCGACGCAGCCGCATCCGTTCTCTTTGTTGGATGTCAAGGAGACAGATTGGACACAGTGCGGGTTTTATTATTTTGACACTTGATACAACTTCTTACGACTCGTTGTAGGTTCCTCAATGAGATGCGCGTCATCGCGAGACTGTCAGAGGAGGAGCGGAATACAGCGTACTGCATCCCAATTTTGTCTGCGATCCCGATAATAAGTGAGTACGCTCAGCGCTTCGATATAAACAAATTACTTACAATACTTGTCGTTGCTGTCAGACGTAGCAATCGCAGGCGCGATAATGCACCACATGCAGCGCAAAAAGCCTGCGCTCGTCAGTCTGTTTGTGGATAAATGGAATCACGTCAGTCCCTTTTTTACTTCCTTGCAATGGTCGAATGAACGCGGACTGACGACCGTCCAGCACTTCTTCCACCCACGCAACATCGAGATAATCCTCATGCGCGGACAGGTCAAGCTCAGCGGACAGAGCGACCAGCCCGTCGCGGGCCTCTACACCCCGCGCACGGTCAACTTCAAGGCACCGCCGCTCGCCACCGACACGGGCGCGGGTGCGTCGAAGGGGAGCAACAAGACGTACCGGCTGTTTATCGTGTCGATGGACGCATAGCGTGTGTTTAGCAGCATCTGCACACGCAAAGTTCTTTGACTTTTGAATCGTACTTTCTGACTGAGAACCCATGTATCCCTCTAACTCACTGTAGCTTACCGCCCGCCGATATAAACTTTTTTCCTACTTGCTTGACACCCTCAAACGCTGCAAAATCTTCTGTGCGGACGGCCAGTCATGCCTGTGGCGCCAACTGAATCTATAATGGACCACTTATCGTCCAGTCTCCTATCTATACTCTATTTGTGTACGACTCGGAGGATAAACTTGCCCGCTCCCGCCTCCGCTGACAGCGGGGCGTATCCCTAGCGCGACGGTGACTCTTGCTGTCTACGAGCTAGCCTATATCAACGGCCGCGCATTGTTGGGACGGACGCAATAAGTACTGGTATACATTTGCGAAAAGATGCAGGATCTCAGGATCTCATGTTCATGTTACATGCGCAAGAAACTATAAACGATTCGGGAGATCCCAAGTTTCGGACCGGCCTCAGCTCTCTCAACCGTCTGTATCATTTCATTTGTCTTCATCATTTGCCGGCCTTCCTTGAAGCCAGGTCAAGTTGAGGAACGGATACCAATCGAAATGATCTTGGAGGCTTGGCTATGACCCAACGCCGGCTAGAGACATCATATGCGCTTCCGTCGAGACAAGATCGTTCGCTGGTAAGAAGGAAAAATCAACCGAAAAGCACGAGAGAAAAAATCCGTAAGGATGATGGGATATAACCTGACCCCGAATTGAACGAGGAACTCCTGCTTAATTACCAAATGGCTGAGCCACTTGAAGCAAGCGCATTAACCGTTATGCTATCAGGCCATTCTTCGATCAGATATTCATGTATATACATACCACCCCTCAGAGGAGGTGCATACCGACGACGCCGCACGAATCTGCTGGCCAATATGATCGAGGTGTATTTTATTTTGATCCTGGTGCTTAGAGGCCGATTTACAGAAGTCAGTGTGCACACGAGACGAGAAGCAAAAAATCCCACCGTCATATATTCGGGTGCAACTAGTCAGTTGAAACTTGAGAGTTGAACCTGGATCCATGCCAGTCTCTGATGTCGGAATCCATGCGCAATGCCAACAGTGAGAAGGTTCATGACGAGTCAAAGAATTCAAAAGAAAGAAAGAAAGAAAAAAGAATTCACAACGATCTTGGCGATGACCTAGTCTCCCATAGTCAGACACAATAACACAAAAAAAATAGACGCGGGATTGACCTTCTTCAAGGCGGGTGGCTGAACCTGCGGGATGCTTTTCTCCCCCTGAAATGTCCATCGTTTGAAGCCATTTCCAGTCAGTATGTTTTTTTAATTGTCCTGCTGCGCGAAGACACCTTGCAAGTATATTAAATAAGCCCTGCAAGGAGATGTAGTGTTACACCAAGTGTAGCCTTGTCACACGGGCATGGGTGTCTGCCTACAGTTGAAGAGAAACAGGTCCAATTCACACGTGGATCTTTCCGGGAAGACGCGCGGTGGTTACATAAACAGAATCAGCGACGGCACCTGTTTTATGCGCGTGGAATAGATGTTGGAACGCACACTTTATGTGATAGCTCAGATGCTGCCTCGGCAAATTCGAATGGCAGTAAGAATTTAGCAAAGTTCAACGGGAGTCAATCAATGTCGATCGTACCACGATTACCTCTCAATCCCCACCGACCGGAACACATCCTCCCAGTCGTGGTGTCTGATCCTACGCAGATTTCGCACCTCCTCCCAACCCGTATATCCACCACAAGCATCGCGCAACAAAGAAAACCACTTGACCACGGGGCGATACTCATACTGCCTGTCCAGGAAAAAGTCGACGCCGACGTACTGGAGCTTCGGCGCGGCACAGAGACTCCGAAGAAGTCCATCCAGCACGGCGTCTGGATCTGCGTCTGAATCGCTTGGGATCAGAGCGGCGGTTTCGAGATGCGTGAGGTGTACCAGGGACGTGAGGGCGGTGATGCATGCCGCGGAGGGCTGGGAGTAATTTAAGTAAAGTCAACTTCGGCGAACAGAACAGGGGCACACAGGGAACGTACAAGACGCGCTTCGATGCCGCGCTTCGTGCGGTGCTCGTTCCAGGGTGTGTGCACGAAGAACAACCGCTCTAGTTGTGGTAGGTCGCGAGCGAGCGTTTGCACGTCGGAAACTTCGTGGAAGCCGATCGTCGCGCGGCGCAGGGCAGGCAGGGCACGGAGAGTGCGCAGAACACCCTCGTTTGTGGACGGTGCATACCAATACATGATCCGCGTGACGGTGTGCACGGTGTGCTCCAGCTGCGGGAGGCGCGCGGGGATTATGGTGCGCACAAGGTCGGGTATGGAGAGCCAGCGGAGGTTGGGCAGGTGCGGGAGATGGATTGGTTCGTTCAGTGACAGTGTTTCGAGCTGCGGGTGACGGGTGAGAAACTCGATGACAGCGGGGTGGTCGGTGAAGGTGAGGTCTCCTTCGATGACCAGTCGCCGTAGATCAGGCCAGTCTTTGTCAGCTAGGAGCCCCGACACATCCGCTGCGGGCCCCCGCATTTCACTTGCGAGGCGGAGGTCTTGCAGCCGAGGACAGGCGGTGAGCATTTCGAACATTTTCCCCAGGAAGTTTCGTGGCACGCCTCTATCCATGGCGCGTCGATTGACTGTGATGGATACCAAGGTGAGGTTCGCGAGTTCCCAAATCTGACGCCGGGATTAGAATCCTCTTACGAAAAGGACAGGGCGAGACTACTAACCGGAGCGCTGAAGGTGTCAAAGCTGGGCGTACTGTCATGGAATGTGATCTCCAGCTCGCGCAGATTCGGGCAATACTGGCGAAGTGCCTGGAACACCGCGTCCATAGGATACTCACGCAAACCCGCAATTGTTTGTCCGCAGGAGAATCGTGTCAATGCGGTCATCGAAGAGATCGCTGCCGCTAGTACACGCGGGGAGTCAGATCCCCATTTTGCGCAAGGTTGCTCGTCGCCATGGCCGTCAACGAGGAATTGCGGGATGCGTAGTTGAGCAGTGCTGCGAGAGTGGCGGATCGGTTCGGCCAGCAATTCGAGGGATCGAATTCGGCTGGAAAGACCAGGGTAGTCTGCTATTGCCTTCCAAAGTTCCGTCCTACGGGCATCGCAGCAAACCTTCCGAAACTCCAGGTGTTGCGGGACGACGATGCCGTGGAGGAGTTTGCTCGTTAGTGCCAGGGACAGAAGATCACAGGGCACGGAAACGCAGGAAGCGATGGCATCTAGCAGCTCCGTAGGTTGGCTACACAGAGACATCGGGCTTGGGATCAGTACTGGCCTCGCACAGTCTGAGAAGGTGAAAGGCAAGCCTTACCGTTACCAAACGCATCGCCTCCGGGTGATATCGAGTGATATGCCCGGAAGTGGAAAGTTCATTGGCGGCCACCGGTGGCCGCCATTGGATATTGGTGGCCATCGGCGGCCGCTGATGTGCGACGAGTGTCAATGCCTTCCATGATAAGATAACGGGCTCCATCAGATATTGCCGAGAACCGATCTATCTTCAAGATTTGTTGGATTTGAGGGCCGGTTTGGCTTACTCAAGGGAAATAGATGATCAGATAGAGCCAATACAATTTCCGTCCAGTAGATTATGGCAGCGGGATGCGAAAAAGGTGCTATGGGCCGGACGCCGGGTTGGCTGGAATCAATTCGGAGGAATTGACGTTGAACTGAAGTAGAGGACACATTGTGAGCCGTATGATTTGCATCGTATCTAAGCACAGGTCGGGAGGAGGCCGTATAGGATAGCAAGTGAACTGGGCATGGAGGCTTCAAATTTCAAGGGTAAACGATGCAAGGGATTGCATTGGATTGCAGTGGATCCCGGCGGATACCAGTGGCTTCAACCATTGCAAAGCGCTGCAATCTCAGTGTGCATTCAATTGCAAACTTCCTGAAAACCAGCGAAAAGCCCCAGTTAACGGAGAAATAAACTTCCCTTTGCTTGCTTGTAGTTGGCAAAGTTTTGCGAGCGGGAAAAGTTATTGGGCGACAGTGGCTGCCAGCGGATACCAATTTAGGGCGGAAAAACACTGGATGCCGAACGGTGCCGATTAGTGCCGTTTCCACTGCCGCGTGTATTACTGGATATCACCGGGTAACTCGGCACCTGGTGCCGCATACGGCATGCTCGGCAATGGTCATCGGCATCGCTGTGCTTATCCCACTTAGTTTCTGTTAATTTTTGCGGGGTGTTCCCGCATGCGCCTGCCACCAAGCGTTCGGTCGTGAGTTTAGGCACTTCATGAAGCGGCATTTGTATCGATTCCAACTGACTTGCAACAGTCAGGTCTCCAGTCGCTACGACTCGAGGCGGCTGCAGATGCCTGCAAGCTTGCATCGTTCATCTTCTGGCTAGCATATTCAATTTTCCCCCGTTTGGTGTCGATTTTCATGTGCTCGAACTTCTCGACGAGGCTTCTGGAGCTTCCGAACCACTAGAAGAAGCGCAACACCGCTCGGCGCTGAATATCGTACGATATATTGCACCCAGCAGCCGCGGGGGTTACTGGATCAGATTGAGCCTAGGACGCTTCGCAAGTTTTGGGTGGATGGAATCTAGAAGAAAGGGACGGCGCGATGTAAGCAAAGGAGCATTGAATAAAATTTTCGACTACAGGAGAGGCTTGAAACCTCAAAACCGCACCACTGTCCATACTGTTAATTTCGCATTCACCTCTTGTCTCTTAGCAGAACCGCAACCGACCGGACAACACGCCCGCGAGAGCGCTCACGAGCGCAACACCCACCAGCCGGCGCAGGAACCGCTTCCCGAGCGAGAGCGGCGCGCCCTTGGCTCCCGCGGCGTCGATGGCGGCGATGTCGTCTGAAGTTAGCTCTGCGTGCGTGGTGTTCATTCGTTAACAATTGTATTTGGAGAAAAAGATGTATAAGAGAGAGGAATGCGTACCAAGCTCTCCGGCGTTAATGTACCCGAGGAGGCGTTCTTTTTTGGAGCTCGTGCTGTAGCAAGTTGAAAATGTGAGGAGGAATGGAGGGAAAGGGAAAGGGGAAGGGAAAGGGAGAAGGAAGCACTTACGTGACGACGACGGCGCCCTTTGCCTTTGTCCACGCGAGGAGGACCTGATCGTCCGTCACGCGGAGGCGGTCCGCAATAGCGTGCACCGGGGCGTCGACGGGTCCGCCAGGGAGAGTTGTGACAGGTCTAAATAAACCTCTTAGAACAACTCGGGCGGGAAACTCGAAAATACAAACATGAGCGCACTGTATGCCTCGATCACAATCTTGTGTTTCGCGGCGTACTCGAGGATCGGGAGCTGCTGCGCGTAGACGTTGAGGACGGACGGTCTGGCTAGCTGAAGCCCAAAGAACCCAGGATCCCGCGGTGTCGCTGCGCAAAGGATCGATAGCAATGGTCGAGGACAAGGATGGCTTGCTACACGTGCTAAGGCTACAGCCAAACATGCACACACTGACACTCTGGGGCACTCGACCCGATCTCACCACTACATCTGCCCACCCACAATAAAGCGACGTCCTCGTCGCGTCCTCAAACACCTCCTCCTCCTCCTCCTCCGCCTCTATCCCATCCCAACGAACGTAGAGCGCGAGACAAGTCGGAAAGTCTCGGGTCGTGATCCCAATCGAGAGTCGCAGTGGCGGATGCGGAGCGGGGGCGGTAAGCGGGGGCGGAGCATGCGGGCGGAAATCGGGAAGGTGCAGAGCGCGAGGCAGACCGGCAGGGAGATCGTGCGAATTTCTGCTTGCGATGTGAGCGGCGCTGGAGGGTACTGAACGGGGTCAATGGAGTCGAGGCGGAACGCAGGACGGAAAAGTCGTGAGGCGCGG